AAAAAATTCAAAACTTTATCGCAAGATAAAGGAAAAATCGGAAAGAAAAAAACGCAAAGCCAAAGTAATAACAAAGAAGAAAAACGAATACAAAAAAGCCATTGGAAAAAACACTGCTGCTGTTTCGGCTCATTTTTATGAGGTGAAGGACAGTCTCATGATCGGAGGCCGGAAGACAACGTGGCAGTGACTGCTTCCACGGTTTCGGGATACTCCAGCAGCGCATGCCGGTTCACTGGATGGAAAAGTAAAAATAAAATAAAAAATCTACAGGGATGCGGTGGGAGGGCGCGAAAAGAACGATCTCGATTGAATCAAAAACGAGAAACAACCGAAGCAAACACTTAGATTATCAGTTTGTATAGAAATACAGAAAAAACATGAGGGCAAGAGATAGACATTAGCGTTGCAGCAAACTAAATGCGATCATATCCGCTTGCCCTTTCGGAGTTTATATATAAAACAAATAAATTACAATAATTGTTTCCCTCTACAAATTTTCACCCTCAAAATCCACATCACCGTAAAGAGAAAACAATTCCCCTCTGACACTCTTGTTCCCAAGAGCCGCGCTCGTGGGAAAGCCCGCTGCCCATCACGCGTGTCGTTGGGAAGTTCCTTTGCCGTTGGGGAATGGCGAAGCGCACCTCCGTTTTGTGTTCTTTGCGCGTTTATTTTCTTTTATTTCACAACTCCCAATTCTCAAACCCCATGCTTTTCGTATTGTTTTGGTTTTCTCCATTTGTTTTTTTTTCGTTGTTTGCTGGGGGTCCGATCTGCCGGGCCAACAACCCGCACACCACGCCCAACAATAAAGAGCGACACCGTGAAGGAGAACGGGACCCATTCCCCACACTCTTTAAACAATTCATGTTGAAATCATCATGGTATCACCCTTTTGAAATTCCACTGAGGGAAGAGAACAACGGCAATCCGCCACACACCCCATTTATTAATTTCGCCCGGCAGAGGGCGACGAGGCCAAATAACATCCAACACCACAAGAGGAATAAATAAAACCAACAGGAGAGGGAAATCCCCAACAATTCCTCATCTTTTCTTCACAATTTCCATTGGAATTGCAAAGGATTCAAGGCGCAACGAAAGCATACCAAGTAAAAGTATGCCTAATGTAATTTACCTTCTTCTTTGCTTGGCCCATAAAGCGCAAGAAAAAAAACAAAAAGAGAAACAGAAAATATTTTTATTAGTTTTCACCTTGTTTCAAGAGAGATCCCCCTTGGGGAGTGGCAAGTGGCAGAATAGTTTAAAACACTTTCCCGCCATACGGGGCGAGAATATCTGTTGTATTTTGATAATTTCCCCTTCCCGTCATGCAGAAAAATGTTAACACTAACAAAGGGTGCCAATGGTGAGGTCTACCATCTCCCCTCCTTTCCCCTTTGATCACCAGAGAAAACCGCTGCAAGAGAGGCGACAGTGCAACAGACAACGCACACTTTCGCCTCTGCATTGCCTCAAAACTACCCCTCTCATCATCATCATCATCAGTCTGCAACAATATGGAAAATATTAACAACAACACTGACTATTCACAAAAAGAGGAACATAAACTTTATTTTTTTTTTTTTGCATCACACCCTGCGCACCGGAAAAACACAACCCAAGTGAAAAATACAAACTACACCAAAGGAGTTACACCACCGTAGAGCAGCGGCATCGTTGCCCCTATTGCAATGTGGAAAAGAATATGCCCACACACACACCGCAGAGTGGACACAACGTCAAATGGGTTAGGGCATTACCCTCTAGTCCCACGAAGAGGAAAAGAGAGCAATAGTTGTATATCTGGACTCTTGCCCATCTATTTGTAAAGAAATGGGAAAAGGAAAAACGCAAAACCCCCGACAGGCTTTGGGGCTTCGCAAGTGTTCTCCCCCGCTAAAATCATGGAAATGCTTCTCCTTTCCGCAGTGATAGTTTCTTTCAAGCAAACGCATCCATCCCAAAAGGGAATTACGCAAACATTGGGTGACCTTCTTTACCACTACGACTCATCGGTTGGCAGAAGAGGCATCATGAAATAGAAAAGGACCTATTGATTCAAGGGGTCTCAATCTGTGCGCATTGTGTGGGTTCCCAAATGGCCCCTACACGATCACCAAAAGATTTCTCCGGGCCATTCCCAAGCAATTCGCCACACAAATATCACCTCTACTTGTTTGCATAAATACAAAACATTCCCCACTCACCCTTTTCTCAGAGATGAGTTGTCATGAGGTCCAGTAGCCAAGAAGAAGATTTATCATATTTTTTTTTCTGTGCTGAACTCTTTCCCACAGTCTTCCATGTCAATAGCTGTGGTGGGATTGATCTTTTCAATTCCACACCAAACCCTTCAACACACAGAGAGAGACCCACCCCGTTATTTTCATTGAAATCCACAATGTTTATGCTTTCAAAATAATAATGGAACAAGTCGATCAGTTTAACTACCACTGTGAGAATATAGTCCCACTCGGTAACACTCTCTCTTGACTGTGACGTACAATATTCACCCTGGTCGACACACACCCTACAGTGGTGTTTGCATTGCTGGAGGTGGATCAACATTCATTAACTTTAGGCCCTCTCTAGGCATGGCTTCATCATGTGTATGTTCTTTAACAGTGGTATCAATCTCCTCACTAATTGAACGAAACTCCATTCTCTCTTTTACTTCTACTCCTTTTTCTCTCACTGTATTTTTTGATTTTCTGTTGATTGCAGTGTCTCTTCTGCAACAACAAATCACAATGAATGAAAAAAAAGAGTAGAGAGACAAAACAAACGAGAGAGTGCAGTAACAGGCCTAAAATTGTTTAAACAAACCCTCACTGATTACCAGCCAGCCTGGAACCACAATCGGCAAGAATACCACAGACGTCAGAAAGGCAAAACAAGATGTCCTTGCAAATCCCAATCGGATGAGTAATAGTGTACGAAATGAATTTATGGCTGTACATATGCACAACACCTGTCAGGTAAATAAAACAAGGTGTCACACACACAACTGAGAAATTCAGTATCCCAATGAGGAGATAATGTGTGTGTATATATGTGTGGGGGAGGGGGAGGGAAGCAGAGTACCAACTGCAGTTGCATCAAAGACTATTACATAAAAATACACCAGAATAAATAAATATGTATATGTATATGGAAAGTTATTATCCAATTCACAATACTTCTATTTCCTCTTCTTTAAATAACTGACCCATTTCATCATTATTATTGTTCCACGCCCCATTGGGGTGTCCAGTGTATTTCTTGTTCTGCTGCCGTTTGATTGCGATTCCCCAGTTCCAAATACTGTCCCCCACCACGGCGGTGTATACTCCCATTAGAATGAACACAGTCTAACCTCACCATTCCCATAGCAAACCAGAAGCAAATGCGCAGACAGAGGACCCAATTGCCAACATCATATCAATGGAAACACAATCCATTCAGAGTGACATAATAAACACACTAACACATATTTACTGGCGCACAAGAGGTGACACAAATCACATCCCTCATATTCAATATCAATCTTTTGATCCACTCCAGTGCATTTACTTATACACCATCAAACACTCCCATTGTTGATAATAAAACAGACCAGTCTCCCCTTTACAGGTTATCCTGTCTATTCAACTGCAAATGAACTCACAAAGGAGCACACACACTGCTGCACCATTACCATGTCTTACTCCTGTTCACTTTACTATTATCTGCCTAAAATAACAAGGAAATTATGGAGAAAGAGAGAGACATACACATTGCACACCTTTTTTTTTGTTTTCGTTTACACTCACTCTGATGCTCTCCCTTCCACTCTTTCACACTCTGAGCTGAGCACAGCAAATGAGTTGACGTCAGGTATGGAAGAGAATCCTGCAGAATTACCCCCTCATCATATTCAGGGGCCAAAAAACAAAAAAAAAAA